CTACGTGCAGGCTCTGGTCAGTGAGTCTGTCTCCATTCCCCCGGCAGCCCAGATGCTGATTCCGCTGTGATATCGGTTCTCCCTCATGATAGCCCGTCCGGACTCACCCATCCTGGTGTCTCCGGCGTCAGCCGCCACGCATCGCCACGCACTTGTGGGGGCTGAAACTATTGTCCAGGGAAACCAGCATCTGTTCATTCAGGTGCTGAACACCTCGAACAGAGCAGTGACGGTGCAGGCAGGAACGGTTCTGGCCCACGTTAGTCCCTTGTCACTAGGAGCCCCCGGAACGGAGCCAGAGCTTGTGGGAGCCATCAGCCAGTCCGAGGGCAGAGGGGACGACTCGTGGATGGACCAGCTGGCGGGGCCTGAGCCAGATTTGCCGCCCAACCAGAAGCACCAGCTGCACTCATTATTGCATGAATTATCTGACGTGTTCAGCCGGGGACCGTTCGACCTAGGCCGTACACATCTGTTGCAGCACCGCATGTACACGGAGATACCGCACCCCTGTGCCAAAACACATATAGAATGAGTCCAATAGAAAAAGGGCACATTCAGCAAAGGGTGCAGGAGATGTTGCGGGCCGACATAATTTCCCCATCTTCGAGTCCCTGGGGGGCACCTGTGGTCCTAGTCAAGAAGTCAGACGGGTCACTGAGATTCTGCGTGGACTTCCGCCACCTCAATGCCATCATGCTTGCTGACGCATTTCCCCTACCCCGTATCGACGACTCACTTGCTGCACTGGCAGGAGCAAAATTTTTCAATGCGTTGGATTTATTGTCCGGTTTCTGGCAGGTCCTACTAGATGCGGACTCCTGGCCTAAAACAGTGTTCTGGACACCACAGGGCCTGTTCAAGTTAAAATGCCTGCCTATGGGCCTCTAAACTGCACCGGCAACGTTCCAATGCTTAATGGAGTTGCCCTTAGCAGGGCCCCAATGGAAAACGTACCTCATCTACAGTGATACCTCGGTTCACAAACTTAATTCGTGAACTGACTCTGGTCGTGAACCGAATTGGTCGTGAACCGAGGCACATTTTCCCATAGGGTTCAATGTAAATCCGGTTAATCCATTCTGACCTTTTTTTTGGTTTTTGAAGCACAAAAATATGAAACAAATGACAATACACATTACTGTAGTACTGTACAGTATAGTAATGTATAAAGAGAGAACACTAACCTTGCTTGAGATGACTTCTGGCATGGAGGAAGGCAGGTGGGAGGTGGGTGGGAGACAATAAGCACTCAAATGGGTGAACTGTACAATACAGTAAGTACAGTATTGTACAGTACAGTAGTAGAGTACAGTACTGTATGTGCTAAAAAGCACACCAAAAATCAAAAAGTCACTGAAAGTGTCTTCACAGTACTCACAGTACTTCTTTCTGTGTCTCTGCTTCTCTCCACCATCTTCCTACAGGAAGTCACGACCATGTGACAGCCTGGAATTAGCATAAAAATGGCCGCGGCTCCTGTTCGTGAACCGAAGCGGAGTTCGTGAACCGGAGCATATTTTTATGACATTTTCTGTTCGTGAACCGAGTTGTTCGTGAACCGAAGCGTTCGTGAACCGAGGTATCACTGTACCTGGATGATGTCATTGTCTTCAGCCGATTATTCGATGAACACATTGGCCGATTGCGTCAGATATCCCTGTGGTTCCAGAACGCGAACTTGAAGCTCAAGCCGTCGAAGTGCCACCTTATGCAGTCATTAGTACGCTATTTGGGCCACGTCGTCAGTGAGTCTGGAGTGGCTACACACCCAGAAAAAACGGCCTGCATGAGGGCCTGGGCTGTTCCCATGACGGCTCCAGAGGTACGCAGGTTTGTGGGCTTCGTGTCTACTACCGCCGGTTCGTACCCAACTTCGCAACCATTGCAAAGCCCTTGCACGTGTTGACGGTGAAGAACCAGAGGTTTTATTGGGGCCCTCTGGAGGAGGAGGCATTCCAACAGCTGCGCTCGCGTCTGACAGATGCACCACCTTTCCGTATTTTGGCCTCCCCTTTATCCTGGACATGGACGCCAGCAATGTGGGCATCGGCAGCATCTTGTCACAAATCCAGCAGGGTCGGGAGGTGGTTATCGCCTACGGTAGTCGTGTGCTTTCGTCAGCGGAGCAGCGCTACTGTGTCACACGTAGGAAACTCTTGGCGGTCGTCCACTTCATGCAGCAATTTTGACCCTACCTGTACGGTCGCAAATTTACAGTCCGCACTGACCACACGGCCTTGCAGTATTCGCTCCGCATCGACCAGCCTTCGGGCCAGCTGGCCAGGTGGATAGAGCGCCGGCAAGAGTACAGGTACCAAGTGGTGCATCGCAAGGGGACCAAAAGGGGGCCCTGATAAGACATCAGTGTGTGGGGGCCGCCACACATTTGAAACCATTGTTTTTTGACAGCATGATTGGGTGTTTTTACATTTGTGTATTGTCGGAGGCCCCACTAAAGGCCAACAGGGGCCGCTCGTGGCCGGCAGGCCTTGCAATGAAAAACAGTGGTCGAAATGAATTTTTCTAAATGTGGAGGGAAAACCCTTGAGAAAAATCCACGCTACCATGCAAAGTCTAATTATACAGCAGGCGTCAGGGTCGGGATCGAACCCACAATTGCCTGTATACTAGGTGAGGTAGTTAACATCTCACCACCGTGGCGCCCCACACATGAAGTCCTCATCTCCATATATATAAAAGGCAAAGTTGTGAATATGTGTGTCTGTTCAAATATTTAGCATACATCCCGACATTCAACAAACTTGAAATTTGCCATGTGGGTACTTTCCAGACTGTACACCATGCAAAAATTATGCATATATTTTTTGCACGGCAAGTGAGCTGTGACGTCAAATCTGTCCATGTGACCCGCACACATGGAAGCGTCACGCAGTGTAGTGTAGCGGTTAGCGCGCTGCGCTACGAACCTGGCGACCCGAGTTCGATTCCCGCTCACAGCCACCACCGGTGATGATTTATTTGAACCAGTCCTAGGCCTCCCCTAGGTCGACTCAACCTCAAACGAGTATCTGGTGTAGTGTCTGAACATCGCCACTGGGGAGACAAAGGCGGCCGGGCGTGGTGAATCCAAGTCCCGGGCGAAGCCGGGTAGGAAAGCTAGTGCATTACTAAAATAAACCAACATACCCCTACTATTTGTCGATTTAAAGCTTTCGTGACTGCAGGGATTCATCTTCTTGGTTCTTTCGGTAAAGTCACGTAGAAGGGAAATAATAAAATAATAAAAATTAAACATAATAAAATACAATTCTCACGACGTTTCGGCCACAACGCAAGCAGCCGTCCTCAAGTGAAGAACAGGTCTGTCGGAAAGACAGCGTCTGAATAAACACCACCAAGCTTGGCAACGTATATTTAAGCTGGGTTAGGGGAGGAAGGGCGCCTTGACAAAGGCATTTGCATATCAACAGAGGAAGTTAGCATATTTATGGAAAATGCAGATATGGGATTAGTCACTACTTGTGGAATGCGTAGGAGGTTGAAGGGGGGGTCTAAAAGTCATATTATTGTTAAATTCAACCTGTAGTTCAAGAATATGGTTCATTAATGATATTGAGTTGTACCATTGGTATTATGTTGTTTTGTTTAAATATTCTCATGATTATAAACCTTGTACTATGTGCACTGCCTTGCCTGCATAAAATGGTGATGATGGTTTTATACATGGAAAACTATGGATGACGTTGGTATCTCTGGCACTCCCCTCTCCTGTCTCAAGTCTTACATTTATTCGAGCACATCAGTCACTCTATGAGGCACTACAGTGGCGAGATCTGATGTGATGAGCATGTTCTCTGGTTTTTCCCTCCACATTTAGAAACATGCATTTAGAATATCTGTCTGCTATAAATGGCCATGTGATAAGCCACTTTGTGGCCAGGCGCGCTTCTGAAAAAGAGCTAAATAGCTCAGTGGGCCTTACCTAGTATGATAAAATATCTATTTTTTCAAAATAAATACTCCCCTCCCCACAGTGTCGGTGTTCCACAGGGTTCGGTTCTCGATCCCTAATTCTTGTCTCTATATTTTGCCTCTCGACTCTATTCTCTCCTTTTTCAGCTTTTCTCGCCATTTATTTTGCTGATGACACCCACATCTTCTCATTTCCCTCGCTTACCATCTATCGTGATCGCCCATTCCTCATTCTTTGCACGCCCCTGCTATTTAAAGCAGGCTTTTATTATGCTGTGTTTTGTTTTGTTTTACTATGTTAAGCGCCTTGGGCAAAGGCACTGTATAAATGTTAATTAATATAAGATTGACTTTCAATACGTGCCTGAAAACCTGGATCTTATAAGGGGCATCCAGAGCAAATCTTAGAGCGGATGAATGTTGGAATGAGCTTATTAAATGTTGTATTGGAAGCGAATTGTTACACAACATTACAGTAATCAGATAGTGGGAGTAAGGTAGCCCTTACCAATTATAACCCAAACGTAGCTGTTAAGCAATGTTTATGTTTGTAGAGAAACCAAGTTTTTTATGTTGCATTCCTCCCTAGGCGTTCAATGTGTTCCCGGAAAGCGAGTTTAGAGTCTATGATGACCCAAGGTAATTTGTTTTATCAAGTTATTCAATTAGTTTGTTGTCCAGCGTGCATAGAGTACGCAAAATTGCTGGTTGTCTTCTTCTTGGAGAGAAATAAATAACTTTATTTATTGGCATTCAGAACCCACCTTTCCATGACCTTGCATACTACCAGTGGACCACGGACGACAAGTCTGGAACCCCTGATGTCGAGACCAGCAAAATGGTAAACAAATGAACGCCGAAAACGTATCAACAACAGTATTTCCATTTTGTATATTTCCAAATTCATCAGTGCTCACGGAAGCATTAATAATAGTAATAATAAAAAAATAATGTATACTATTTTCTTAATTTAAATGTTGGGAAATACCCTGAGATGTCTGTGACTAAAAAAGTACAAAAGGTGTTTGTGCGATACGGGAGTGGCACTCCTATAAATACAAGACCAGGGCAGCTGGACACTACTACAGCTGATGCTCATCTAGCAGTCACGATGAAGGCACTGCTCAGCATCGTCCTCGGTCTTCTCTTCCAGGAACTCGCTTGCGCCATTTATGTAAGCTACACTGGCTGTTGCAGGCCAGGCTCAATTTCTTACTGAATATTTACTGGGTCGCTGGCAGACTGGACTACCCATGTGACTAGTAGTCAAAGCCATAACGAGAGGTATACTGGATGTGGTGTACTGTGTTTTATTTTTTTCCCCGTGTTCCTGACCGGACAGATCTGGCTGAAATTAAACCCTGGTTGCAGGGGTGTGCTGTGGTTTTCCTAAGACTATGAGAATAAACAATAGCTAATAGCTTATGATGACATTTTTTTAATTCTACATGGATAATTCTCATCAGCCGTCTTTAATGCGCATGTGATTCCTCCACAAAGTCTACCAACAAAACGTTGTAAACTCTAAAATAAATAAATTTTCGGAAGAATATATTTACAATTATTGTGCTGGATATTCAATTATTATGTTTAAAGTAAGCGAGTGTGAGTGTGATGTGCTTTCACGTTGTGGTCTTCTCTTAAAAGCTGGCTCCTGGCGCCTACACTAACAGCTCCCGGGATGCGGAGGGCCAGTGCGTGTGTAACGTCTATCTGCCGGACCCCATCTTCCCGGCCGACACGGTGGAGCAGCTGCAGCTCAGCACTAAAACGATTGCCACGGCCGTCACGGTGGAATCAAAGAAGGTGAACTCTTCTTATTTCACCAGGAGCTTAAACATTGCCCATAAAGCCAACATGAAACATGACTGTGTAGGTTTTCACGGTGGTGCTTGCATAGCTCTCCGATGTGTTTCGGAGCTGTGCCACGTGTTGTGCCGCATAATGTCTGACGTTTTACTCCACATGTTAAGAGTTTCATCAAGATTTGACTTGTGCTGGGTTAAAGCATGAGTTTTAGAGATAAAGCATGACTTGTACATGAAAAACAAGGTATCTATAATACAAATTCGAAATTGTACTTTTAATTTAAAACAAATACGAATCAAAATCAAGTATTATTCCAATTCATGAATAAAGTATAAATATATATAATTGTAGTCACAAATACAAAAACGTACAGTAAATGTAAAAATGTAAAAGCAGATGCATCTACAATAATGTATGTATACTGAACTTTTTTCCCACTGTACGTAGCCAACCGTACTAATCGGAGGGGCAGATATTAAATAAATAGTAATTTAAAATCTAAATCATCTTCGCAAATGTAATTGTCACAAGATACAACTGGGATGCAGTTATTACAAGAGCGATCTAAGTTATTAGAAGCAGGATTCTTAACATCCTGTCATAAACTCTTGGCACAGAACATTATAATTTTGTGAAACATCTTAGACAAGACACAACCATGTGTCAAAAGCCCCATAGCCATCGTGTGTATGCAAAAAAAACATTTTCTGAATTAAGTGCATTTTGTATTCTTTGGTTCTTTCGGTAAAGTCACGTAGATAGAAAATAATACAATTATAAACAATAACAAAATATATATAAATGTTTAAAAAAAAAACTCACGACGTTTCGATCGTAACACAAGCGGTCGTCTTGAGTTTTTGTAAAAAAAAAACATGCATATTTTATTATTTATTTAGTTTTTTATATCTACGTGACTTTACCGAAAGAACCAAAGAATATGAATTCCTGCAGTCACGAAAGTTTTAAATCAACATTTAAGTGCATGTTAGTCCCCTTGGCTTATGTGACCAGAGAAATACGCGCGAGCAAACGCGGACAGTAAGCAGCAGTCACAGACAATTTTTGACCAATGTCATTATTAGAACTCATCAGCACAGTATACTCACCATTGCTCACTGGTCTGCTTCTGGGAACCACATATGTGGGGTCCCTACATCCACACTTTGGGACCCATTTGCTTGGCTATTGCAAACAAAAGTCTCATATGTAAATTATGAAAAAACATTATAACAGAATAATAGTGCAGGCTGGAAAACCATGAGTTTCAAACAAGATACAAAAATGTATTTTTTAACAGCACACAGGCATTGTGGGTGTGCAAACGAGCATCAGCAAGGAGTTCCTTGTGGTGCTGTCAGTTTTTTGCTCATGTTTATTTTGATGGTGATATAAGACAAGTGGCGCACAACGCACTTCAGGAAATGATTATGTTTTTGCATACGCACAATGGCTGCCTTTTATGTACTTTCGTGTCTTATTTGAAACATGTTTTTTTCAACGTTCTCTATGATTCTGTTATGAAAACATATTATTTCGTGATGCTGCATTGGCAGTGGTGCGCGAGTGCGAAAACCAAAGGAACTCAACACATTCGTCAAAAGCACCGCTTTAAAACGAGAAATATGTAATAGATAAAATCTTAATTTGAAGCTTTCATGACTGCAGGAATCGATACTCTTTGGTTCTTTCAGTAATGCCACGTAGGTATAAAATAGAATAAATCACGTTTCGGGCGAAACACAAGCGTCCGTCATCAGGTGGGAAAGCTGCGCCCGAAACATAGGTGACAATTTTTTTTAGCAACCGTCCTTTTACAAGCACATGTCAGAGGAGATAGAGTGGATCATAAGAGTTGAAGACTTCACTTTACACAATGGGGCTTGATGACAATTAAATAAAGTTTTCTCATGACCAGTTTTCAAATTGGCATACGGTGATAGATTTGCCGAACATCTTTGTCAGCCCGACGTGCAGACATGTTCAAACCAATGGCTCTTCATTGCCACAGTGGCGGCCACAGGGACCGGTTTCGTGGAAAACTATTTTTTCACGGACCAGGGGGAGGTCATCATTGGGTCTTTTCCCCTTTTCAAAGAAGCTCTCCAGCGACGTTTGCTTTTTACTCATTTTGGCTCGGGTTAGCTTGTGGGCTTACGAAAACTGTGACTGAGACAAGTGCACAGTGCGGGAAAGAGGCGAGGATGGAAGTGGTGAATAATAAAACAATGGGGGCGGGTTCCACGCGCGGACTCACCGCTCTCACCTCCTGCTGCTGTGCGGCCCGGTTCCTAACAGGCCACGGACCGGTACCGATCCAGGGCCCGGGGGTTGGGGACCCCTGATATAAAGTATGGAAGTTCACCTTCATATTTAAATTGAATGCAGTTCATCCGGCAGGACTGAATCAATGCTCAACCTTTAGGTAAACATATTTAGAATCGAGTACCTGAAAACCCATTTTCACATTTTAGTTGCATTTAATTCATTCTGATATCATGTTGGTGTACCTCAAATTCCATTTCTCAGATTTCTCCACCTGAGGCATGTAGAGCAGTGAAATAATTTAATTAAAATTGTGATTGGGACCAATAATTAATTGATGAGTGAATTTTTTCTGGATCTCATAAGAACGAATGTTCCCACAATGCAATGTGCCATGAACAGTTTATGATTTTACTTTTAATATAAAATAATACACTTTCATTATTAAGGGCTCTGTCAGTTACTCAATAGCTACTATTATGCAACTATATGCTGATTTAAAAACTAATCATGTGAAACATTTTAAAAATGGAAGTCATGTAATGGTAAAGTGCAGTCTGAAACCCTAATTCGCTCTATCTGGTCTCTCTATGTACTATGAAGTTCTGAAGGTCCATTGCCCAAAACATATTGTTTCCTATTAAGGCAGTGTTATTGACAAATGTGTTGCCCCAAAGCATCGATATCGGATCTCCACATTTATGGTTCCCATTGACAGATTTCTCAGCAGTCTAAAATGTGCTGATGAGTCCTAATTAGACAGAAACTGGCCCATAGTTGTATGCCACTGCATCACTGCTGCTGTCAGTTGGTCACATTTGCTCAAATTAATTTTGATACTGATCAACACAAGTACACCATAACGAGCTTATTAAGGACATGTTGATTTTTTGCATATGCACAATTGGCCATGTGCTCTCTACACCTTTGTGTTGAATTTGAAACCCGTGGTTTACCAGCCTGCACTGTTATTTGGTTACTATTATATTGTCCACGCGTTTGCGAGGGAAAATAACTTCAGTGGAAAACAAGTTATATGGATTTTTGCGAATTTCCGTATAAGTTCCTTGTATTACACTTTTACAGGCAACATAATTTTGGTGGGAACGTTTCCATTGCAATAATTATCATGCACTACATTGCTGTATCGTTGTATCGTTGAGCTGAAGTTGACTGTAAGGGGGGTGGTGTACTTAACGAAGTGAACCACGATTGTTTTAACATAAAGAACATGTTTGCTGTGAAATCGTTCACATCAAATGTTATACGCTGTAGGATCGGAATCAGAAAATATAGAAAATAAACGCATACCTTTGACATATTCATTTTGCACATAAATCTAATATAGGTGCTATGTGTTTCTCAATGACACTCGCCGTCTCATCTTCTTGACTTTTCTTCAGTTTCTCGGGTGTTGGTCACAGCTCCATGTGCTTCGCTTCCTTTTCTTGGGGTTCTCTCCTACACAGGCAAGTGTAGCTGCGGGGGCAATAGAATTAAGTTGGGCAGTGCCACGAATTTGTTGGACCGTTTCGCTGAGAATAATGCCGCGTCAACCCCGGAGAGGCTGAGCAAACTCCACGAGGGCGGCCGCCAGTAGGACAAGTCATGTCCCGACCTCGCCGCAGCAGCCCCCCTGTACTCGCCAATAGTCTGCCGGCAGTGCCACCAGATGCTGGCACGCAAGTTTTTTTTAGTTTTCAGTTTTATTTATTAGGTATAGCCCTTGAACCATGCGACTCTTGACTCGGTTGCAACCGCAACAAACAAAAACATGAACAAGGAACATCTAAAAGTGACTACGCGCAACAGAAAATTTCAGGGGAAAAAACAGCAAAGTCTTCCAGAAAAAACACCGTATATCAACGCTGTGTGCAAATAACAACCATAAGAGAATTTAGATTAAAGTTATCATTCTAATTCTGTACTACAACAAATAAATATGGCTAAACCAAAACGTTTTCGAAATCACCAAAATAAAGCTATGAAAACAATGTAACAGTGATTCTAGATTTAAAGCTTTCGTGACTGCAAGGATTCATATTATTGGGTTTTTTCGGTAAAGTCACGTAGGTAAAAAATTAAAATTAAAATTAGAAAAAGTAAAATAAAATAAAAATCACAACGTTTCGGAGGCAACACAAGCTTCCGTCTTCAGGTGGAACCGTCACAGCCACGACAGCTGTATCAAGTAAATGAGAGATTAACAAGAGATACCCCTCCGTATATATAATGGTTGAGGGGGGAAGGACCAGGAACGGCACACTTTTTATTGATATGGTAAGGTGAGGCTTAAGACTATGAATAGACTGCATAACAAAAGACTGAGCCTTTGCTATGGAGAGGTGCGGTTTGTGACTAACGCCTAGCCTACATAACAAAAGTGTGAAAAAAGAAAGAAAGAAAAAAGAAACAATAAACCTGGTTAAACAAAACAGGCTGTCTATCACTAACCTGTAATAGTTGTCTGTCAAATAAGATGGTCCAAATGAGTGTAGTTAAATATTTTTGCATGGTTAGATACCCCTCCATATATATAATGGTTGAGGGGGGAAGGGCCAGGAACGGCACACTTTTTATAGATATGGTAAGGTGAGGCTTAAGACTATGAATAGACTGCATAACAAAAGACTGAGCCTTTGCTATGGAGAGGTGCGGTTTGTGACTAACGCCTAGCCTACATAACAAAAGTGTGAAAAAAGAAAGAAAGAAAAAAGAAACAATAAACCTGGTAAAACAAAACAGGCTGTCTATCAGTAACCTGTAATAGTTGTCTGTCAATTAAGATGGTCCAAATAAGTGTAGTTAAATCTTTTTTGCATGGTTAATCACATCTTTCCAATGATTACTCAGTTTGTAACCATCATCACGGTTGAAATTATGTGCTGTGTCCTCACCGAACTCTAAACAGATCTTATTTAACGCTAGCCTATCACTAATCTCGGAGAGAATAAGGTTACTCCGATCTGAACTCGATAATTTAGATAAGACTCTCTTACAAACACGTTTCATTTCATGTTAACACAAAAAATGTCACCTTCCGATTGGAACCACGTTGATAACATGATTTCTGCTTCTGCTGACTCAATGTCAGCCAAATGCAAAGCTAACCTGATTTCTAAATTCAACTCTCCATAACAGAGGCTCAGTCTTTTGTTATGTAGTATATTCATAGTCTTAAGCCTCACCTTACCATATCAATAAAAAGTGTGCCGTTCCCGGCCCTTCCCCCCTCAACCATTATATATATGGAGGGGTATCTAACCATGCAAAAAATATTTAACTACACTTATTTGGACCATCTTATTTGACAGACAACTATTACAGGTTACTGATAGACAGCCTGTTTTGTTTTGCCAGGTTTATTGTTTCTTTTTTCTTTCTTTCTTTTTTCTTTTTTCACACTTTTATTATGTAGGCTAGGCGTTAGTCACAAACCGCACCTCTCCATAGCAAAGGCTCAGTCTTTTGTTATGCAGTCTATTCATAGTCTTAAGCCTCACCTTAACATATCTATAAAAAGTATGCCGTTCCTGGCCCTTCCCCCCTCAACCATTATATATATGGAGGGGTATCTAACCATGCAAAAAAGATTTAACTACACTTATTTAGACCATCTTATTTGACAGACAACTATTACAGGTTACTGATAGACAGCCTGTTTTGTTTTACCAGGTTTATTGTTTCTTTTTTGTTTCTTTCTTTTTTTTCACACTTTTGTTATGTAGGCTAGGCGTTAGTCACAAACCGCACCTCTCCATAACAAAGGCTCAGTCTTTTGTTATGGAGTCTATTCATATCTTAAGCCTCACCTTACCATATCAATAAAAAGAGTGCCGTTCCTGGCCCTTCCCCCCTCAACCATTATATATACGGAGGGGTATCTCTTGTTAATCTCTCATTTACTTGATACAGCTGTCGTGGCTGTGACGGTTCCACCTGAAGACGGAAGCTTGTGTTGCTTCCGAAACGTCGTGATTTTAATTTAAATTTTTATTTCATTTGACTTTTATTAATTTTAATTTTTTGCCTACGTGACTTTACCGAAAAAAACCTAAGAAAATGTAACAGTGATCATAGGAACTGTGATTCAAATTTAACAAAAAAACGATATACAGTACATAACATGTATGACCATAACAGCAGGAATATCAGTAGGAGTATGACAAATCCCACGGGGGGCTGCGGGTGCAAACCCGAACATAACCCCCGATCTGTGTTCTTTCACTCCATCTCCTCAGGTCTTTCTTTCACTCCGTTGTTTGTGTCTATTGCTTTTTTCTTTACTCCATTGTTGTGTATATTACGTTGTTTTACTCCGGTTTCGTGTCCATTGCGTTATTTTACTCTGGGTTTGTGTTGCTTTGGTTCGCTCCATTGTTGTGAACGATACATTACTTTTTCACTTTGTTTTTGAGTATAATATTTTACTCTTTGGTTCTTTCGGTAAAGTCACGTAGAAAGAAAAATAAATTAAATAATAGCATACGACGTTTCGATTGCAACACAAGCAATCATCATCAGGTACGAATGAATGAGAATACAAACCTAGTAAACTTAGAAATAGAATGCAATACAACACAGAGAGTCGGCTAACATAACAATCAACACCCTACCTGGTTGATTACGTTCTTCCAAAGATTGCTAAATTTGAGAGAGAGCTAAAACACAGACATGGAGACACATAGACAGACACATAAGCAGAAAGAGATAACACAGACACACAGAGAGAGAGACACACAAATAGGCACACCGAGAAACAACGCCTCTGTGTCGAGGCCTTAAATAGACAGAGAGGGGGGCAGAGAGAGAGGGGGGGGGTAGAGAAATTAGCATGCCAATGAGAGATTTGGAGCTTTCGTGACTGCAGTAAATACTAGAGCTACAACACAAGCACACAGAGATAGAGAGAGAAAACACATTTAGCAATGCAACACAGAGAGTTGGTCAACACACATGGTACCTGCTGAATTGGCAGACCCTCCTTCAATAAGCCTCAACCACTTTTAAATTGGCTCGCCCACTTCAATCACTATCCCCACCTACACAGCCTCCTCCGCAAACCCCACCCACTGGTCAGGGAATCCCACTATTTGCAAATATCATGAATAAAGCATAAGGCCTGGAAATTTTAATTGAGAAAATACTCTGCTCTTTACAAATGTTTCTGAACACCGTGACAGACTTTTTATGCAACCATGAGTGATTCCCCATGCACAACAATGCTAACATAATGTACTATTGAATTGAGTCGTGATATCCAATAATGACAGTTCCTGGAATCCTCGCAGGAGATCATCATTGCAGGTCTAAAAATACCGTACACCCATGTGTCTCCTCACTTGTTGGAAATTATCTGTCAGCCATTTCACGCAGCAGAGGGCACTGCAGTACAGCAGTCCCTCGCCAACCACGTTACTGCCAACCCACGGGGGTCTTCAGGAACCTAACACCCGTGGTTGGCGAGGGATTACTGTGTTTCCAAAAACAGGGCCAGTTTTTTTTCATGATGGGGGCGCTGGGGCCGTTTTAGTTTTGGGGTTCCTCCTTTCATTGACTATTGTATCACCTTCCAGATTTGAAGCTTTCGTGACTGCAAGGATTCATACTCTTAGTTCTTTCTGTAAAGTCACGTAGGTAAGAAATGACATTAAAATTAATAAAAATACAAATCACGACGTTTCGGAGGCAACACAAGCTTCCGTCTTCAGGTGAAACCGTCACAGCAAAATAGCTGTACCTTATATAGAGCGGCTTAATCGTATTTAATTAATTTACCCACCCAGCAGTATAACAAAAGCAGTGCTTGACCACTTCAGAACTCCTCCACCCCCGCTGCCCTTCCTGGCTCCTCCCCCCTTAACCACTATATATATTTTGCTGTGACGATTTCACCTGAAGACGGAAGCTTGTGTTGCCTCCGAAACGTCGTGATTTGTATTTTTATTAATTTTGACTTTACCGAAAGAACTAAGAGTATTGTATCACCACCCATATCTAAAGGGTTGCCAACCGTTCCAAATTGACCATGAGTCTCATCGGGAATTGACATCGATCTCCTGGTGACTGTTGAAAGCAATTCGGGATATTTGAAGAAAGTAAATTAATAAATACGATATAATGTAAGAGGTTCCGTCAGAGTGGGCAACCTTACCCATGCTCAATGCCCAATACGCTATTGTTATTTACCATGGTTATTTCCGTTTTTAAATATATACAAACTGATAAGATAAATACAAATTAAAGTGAACACTTTTTTTTTTATTTGGCACTTAACTGGTAATAATCTACATAGTGATTATATGGTTTTTATTAATAATTTATAAGATGCATCATATTGCGTTTCAACCAATATATAGAATTCTATATTGTTAGAGCCTCTGCTAAATCAGCCAGTGCTCCTGACCTCAATGTGGGTTTGAGGATCCAACCTTCCAACAACTCTGGTATAGATCGTACTACTTTATGTATCACTACATCCCTGATAACATTACAGTTCATTACATGTCCCATTATATGTTATATAAAAGGTTTATATTCTTGGTTCTTTCGGTAAAGTCACGTGACTTCATATTCTTGGTTCTTTTGGTAAAGTCACGTGACTTTACCGAAAGAACCAAGAATATGAATCCCTGTAGTCACGTAAGCTTTAAATCGAAATATAAACGGTTGTTTATTAACACAAGATGTGAAAATGTTCAAGTGAATTTCATTTCAAGGAGATAATATTGAAATTATGCCTGCAGGTGGCAGAGAACTACGCTACGCTGGTGCGTTATACTGGGCTGCTGCAGAACCTGACGGTGCGCGTGGAGCGAATGGAGCAGGGCCATGACCGCTACACAGAGCTGGACTTTGAGCTGCTGCGGGTGGAGATCAGGGAGATGGAGCAGCTGGTGCAGCAGCTGAAGCTGGAGGTCTCCAGCGCCACGCTCGATCGTCTCCACCTCTCGGTCAGTCACGATTGTTGCAAAGGCACGCAATTGTTTGCGTTAAAGGTGCTGCATTGGCCACAGCTTTCTATTGGGAGGATATACAAACTTTCAGGTTTTCCTCTTTCAGATGACATTTTAAATCGAGTACCTTGAGTAACTGGCATGTGAAGGCAGCATTTGTTTTACATGCAGGGCTGCCTTTTATATCTTCTCATAGTAAACTGCATTCATCTTGCAGATGGCTTAATACAAACTGGAATGACATTATAGTTGGGTGCGTCTTCCAAAAAATATGTAATGGCATACACAGATATACATTGCTGTTGTTATTACTTTGTGTGGGTTTTCTCTTGGCACTCCAGTTAATTCTCATGACGACTCAGTGTGTGGTGAGGCTAGTGAATGTGTGGACATGGATATGCAAAAGTAGGCAGGACAGATGGAGGGACTACCAGCTCACCATGTCCTAGTTGAACCTCCCATGCAAGAATATAAAAGCAGATTGCCTCAACATCCCAAACAGTTTCAACAAAAACACGCTTACCACTTCAATATTGCCTGGGTAAATAATAAATATCACATCTATTTGAAACACAAATAATACCATTGTTGTGACTCCTAAATGGGAGGGTTGAAAATGGCGACTTGGGAGGATGTGAGGTGAAGCAAAATAAGAGTGAATTAGGGACTGACAGGGGGGGGGGCAAGGAGGCCGAAGGGGCGGTAGAGTGGTGAGAGTGGAGGTGGCCATGGTGGTGAAGCACGAGGGGAGAAGGAGGCAGAGTCCCAGGGGACGAGATTGGAAGCAGAGTGGAGGAGCGGCAAGTTTTGGCGAGAAAATATCACGGGAGCAGTTAGGCGATCGTCGCAGAAAGAACAGAGGCAATATGAGGGGTTGAGTTGTATTTATAAGAAGTTTGTAATTAGTTTGTTGATGGAAGTGCACACACACTGTAAATAGTAATATCACTGATATGTTATTCAATAGATAATTGCAGAAAATAACCTGGTGTTTGCCATGAAAACTGTGACTGCCCGGGCCTGGTTAATCGACTCAAGTGGATTACCGCACCGTGTTCATAACTCTCCTGGCCAACAGATCCAGAACATCAGCGTGGTGGTGAACACGCTGGACAGCTACGACAGGAACAACGTGCTGGTCATCCGCCACCAGGTGGACACTCTGCGCAAGCAGCTGCAGGACTGCCAAAATGAGGCCTCTAATGCTGGCCAGCCCCCCAGCAACAATGCTGACCAGTCCCCCAGCAACAATGCTTACCAGCCCCCAATTGGTAAGCTACTTATATCAGAAGTTATTGCCGTAGGGTCCATCCATTACATTACCATGGGTTAGTATTACAATTACAAGCGCAACTTAAAATTCAATCTAATGTATGCATGTATGTATGTATGCGACAAATGCCTCTAAATTAATTATAAAGACAAGGTCTCTGATGATTTCCTGATATTCCCCTCAAATAGGGGGCCTTTTGTAATTCATACAGTATTATATTAAATATGAAAAATGTGTTCAAAACAGTTGACAGGTTATCAAAATCATAAGTTATGAGCTCATACATTCAAATTGGCGCCAGAATGGAGATAACTCAACCATCAATCTTCGGGGCCTTGGTAAAACGAGTATCACCAGTTGAAAGATACAGGCATTTTAGTAATGGCTGTTGGAGACACTTGTCCATGCAACATTGCCATGTAATTTCAGTAAATTACTCAGGACTATGATTTTGCATGAGCCCTGCCCAATGCTCATTTCAGTGTAGGGCACTTGACTTTTTTATGTTATTGTAAAGACCGAAGCAACACACGACTTGCCTGATGGGGTACATGTGCAGACAGACAGTGAGGAAGTGTGTTAGGGGGCCTCTGATTCATGCAGGGAGGCCTCAAAGAGGATTGGTTACTCTCAGAGAATTAAACTGATTGGAAGATAAATTCAAAGGTAAAAGGTGGGAAAACGAGAATGGACTGTCGATTAATGGTTGACAACCGTTAGGTAAGGAGGACCAGGATTGGCGGAGGGAAATGGGAGTGAGTGAACCTTTGATAAAGGGGGCTCGAGGAATATACATTATCTACATTATCTTATCCTATTCTTCATAAAACCTGTTATCTACTGAATCCACCTGATCAGAAGTTCCTCATGTTATCTATTAAGATTTAATTATCAATATGTCAGCATTGTCAATGCATTCGTTGCCATCGTCACATCTCACTAAATGCTTTGCAGCCTCTGAAAGGTGCCACAGCTGTTACACGTTAGACACCTCCAAGATCTGCCCTGATAGCTCTTCTTTTAGTTAGATTTTTCTTTCAGTAGTTATAATGCCACCTAACTCTGATTCCGCAGTTGGTTAGCACATTAGAAAATTGAGGATAATAAAGTAAAGTACAGAAGTTATTCAGGAACAAAATTCAATTGTGTCATCCTCATGGTATTAATATCCCACTTATTTATTATTAGCCACATGTCATGCTTTACATAGCACCAACAGGTTTTCTCTTGTGGGGTCACATAAAAGACTGTGTTAAAATTAAGTTAATTGGGATTGGTGGGATATATGTAAAGGCTTTCAAATGCAGTGGTCCCTCGGTTAACGATATGAATTGGTTCCACAAAAAACATGATTAATTGAAGTTATCGTTAATCAAATAAAGAAAACACATTTTAAAGGATTAATTTGTTCCAGAACGATCCGAATGTTACCTTTCACCCTAATTATTTAGTTTATTATATTTAAACATGCAATTTTTATCAACGTTAAAAGGGCATATTCAAAATTTTACATAAATAAAAAGATGTATAAATAATAAATAAATGGAGAATAAAAAGAAGCAATAAGTAGAGCTAAAATTAAAATTATTACCTTCGGCTAAGAAGATGGATGGTTTTTCAATATTTTCCTGCTTAATTTGCATACTAATTATTTGCTGACTTTGTCATCTTTTTTATAGTCATTTTAGGGGACATTGTTATTGATTTTATTAAGTTTTAAGTAAAAAAAACACGAATTATTTAAGAGAGCTGTTTCCATAAGCAACGCACATCAAACATTGTAAAGCTATCAGCCAGTTGCTCTCAAATCGCTCATACAATGGCGTCGCTGATTGAATGAGGTCTGCTGCTGAGTCCTCTTAGGAGCACTCCGATTGACCGAAATTAGCAGCTGCGTGATATTGTAAACATTGTTAATCGAAAATGTATCGTTAATAGAAACAATTTAACCCTATGGGAGATGGATTGTTAATCTAAAGATCGTAAATCGATGGACCACTGGATTATGTTGTCTTCTCTATAGAGTATATCTTATAGATTAGAGGATTGTCTATTTGTACATTGCTCTGCATATTAACAAGTCAAATTATAAAGTTGGTTTGTGTTCATTCTGAAATGAGTATTCCTATGGTGGTGGCTAACATTTAAGTTTTTTATGTACATTAATACGAGAAACACTTTTCAGGTGTTGGATCATTTCATAAATGAACGTTTTTCTATGAATTAAAATATCAAGAACATTTTCTAAAGTGCTGTATTGTCTCTTTGCAGGCTCATGTGCGCACGGTGGCTTGCAGAACGTCAGCGCACCATATATTCACATTCTGAACATGCAAGGTTCAGGGTACATATATGGCGCGTTTGGGAAAGACCCACTCCCACTGAAGGGACGTGAGGATGCGTACTGGGTGATAACCAGCTATCAGGTTTACTTTACTGCGTTTCAGATATTTGCCAACAACCGGGCACTGCAAACCTCTAAGCTGTTGGAACAAAAGACCATTTATTACGACACAGATTATGGTTATGGAATGGATGCAGTGATGTACAAAAATCACATGTTTTACAGATGCTATACTGGTGTCGCTGTTTGCAAATTTAACATGACAGCCTCCACTATTACCAGAGCAAATCTCCCCCAAGCGTCAGGAGTCAATACGTATCCTTACCTGGGCAATACATATTCTGATATGGATTTCTCTGTGGATGAACAAGGTCTATGGGTCATTTACTCTGCCAATGGGAAGGTGTCCCTTGCTTTACTTAATGATACTTCCCTTGCTGTTATCAACAGCTGGACTACCACGCAGTACAAACCCGCAGTCAGCAATGGCTTCATGGTGTGTGGTGTCCTGTACCTCACGCGCACCTATAGCCTTAAAACTGAAGAGATCTACTTTGCATTTGACACCAACACTAACCAGGAGAGGTCTTTGAGCATCATGATGGACAAGCCCATGGAAAAGATGAGCAGCCTCAGCTATAACGCAGTTGACCGCAATCTGTACATGTATAATCAGGGATATATGGTCACCTATAATGTGATATTAAAGGGCATGTGATTTTTCTATGATTTTGACCTTTTATGCATATTATAATCACTAACACAATACTTTGTCATCCAAATCTTCTACCAATCTGTAAGGGCTGTAATTGTTATCTCCTTTTTTCAAGTGCTAAGTATCACAATTAACACACCTCCCATGCACAGTCAGAATTAACACCCTGGCCAGTACGGTTAGTGAAATCAGGACCAAGGCATTTTCAGATACCAATCACCGCTGATTGTGAGACATTGCTGGAAGCGAAGTCCGAATGCTGGTATCATAGCGCATTCCGGCGTAACAGGCCGTAGTATACCACCGGGGTTAAAACGGCCTAGGCGAGATTATACCCAGGTATATTATACTCTGGGGTATATTATGGCCTAGGCCAAATTATACCCCTCTAGGCCAAATAATACCCCCATGATAGTAATATTGTTGAGCGATATACACATGAATTACACATTTTTTCCAACATTTTATTTGAAAACTGTAAACACATAGACTTTGATTGCTTCAACCAGAAAAAAACTTTAATAACCCTAACCCTATCCATAACCCTAACCTTATACCTAACCCTAAAAATGCTTCAATTGATCAAATTGAGATTCTTATTTCCATTTATACGCTTTTTAGATATCGATTTAAGTGCGTTTGAACTTTCACATGGGGCATATTCTGGCCTGAAGGGGTATGGTCTGGCCCAGTCTAGTTTAAACCCCCGGGTATAGTTTAGCCTAGGACACTTTGTCCCCTATGGCCCAAACTATACCGGGGTTTAATCGGGGCAGGGGTTATTTTAGCTTGTTACAGCGGGAACCACCACATACCGCATCACCTCCGGTTCTAATAAAATGACTCAAAAATAACATATGGTCACGTGTCGCATCTGCACAGAGTTTCTGATATAAGCATTGTACAATTTTTTACAATTGAAGACTAAATATCATTAATTTGTTTTCTAATAGAATATTAATTTTAAAAAGTAATAGTTGATGCACGGCAATTCCAGTGCCAAAACAGATGCTGGATATAAGCACAACCTAATCGTGGTGGGCTTATAACCAAAGTATGCCTTCTGCCCAACAAAAGTAATGTAAAAATGTGTTTCTTGTATCAGAACTGTGCTTTTATAAGCTTCGACTGCACCTTGAATTATTAGGAGTCAAGTCATGCTGAACCTCCGCTTATGACCAATGGTGGAAATATGATAATCCAGTGATTGGATCTAAAGTCTCCTGCATATCAAACACGTACAATATAGCTATTGTACCACAACATTGGTTTGCAGTTATTGATGACAGCGCTTTGTGTAACAACAATTACATTCCAAGTTCCATTTAAAACTCTCGCTGTCAGAGAGCAGCCCGAGATGTCATGGCACTACTCCACCTCAATAAGCCTCTTGTACCCACGAATTGAAAACCATTGATTTTCCCACAAAGGTCAATTCAGCTTTTTTGCAGAGCTGGTATATTCCAAATGTAATCTCAGGAAGTTTCATTGTGCAGTTATTGGAGGCCAGACTAAGACGATTCACACGCTACACTCAACCGGGTTACGTCGTGGGAGGCTGCTTGGATTTTGAACCCAGAATCTCAGCATTACTGCTGGCTCGGTGCTCTGGCATTGTTCTCACCTCCTGAGCCACCCGGCCACCTCAATAACGAGCTAAATGAATTTTATTTGCACAGGTTAAGTACTGAACACGTGGTCAAAACAACCTATTTTAGATGCAAGTGGACATGTCAAAAGGTATAGCCAGTTTGCTGGTTGTCCTTTATTGGACCAAGCTTAAAGGATAAGTAAACTGAATTGAATTCTGTCGTCAATTTTCCCAAATGACATTGGACAGGACTTCTTAAGAAAAAAAATCCACTTGGTTATCTTTTCGTTAATGTAAACAATATATGGTTTTTTTTTTACCACGTGAGTTCACGCCTTGTCAAATCTAATGTGTGAGTGTAAATGTAGCCCAGGTGGTAAATTTTAAACCGATGGCCCTCATAAACTAAGCTAGTCGCATTCATCAGCACATACTATCATTCTTAAACAGACCATTTTACATAACAGATCTGCCATTTGGCTTTTATATTAGAATATAATTGTTTGCATGTTCCAATGCTGATTTGCTCATTATTTCGAGAATTATACACACTTTTACGTGGAATGGGAATTTTCCAGGTGTCATAATTTAGCATATCATACTTGTTGGTATGTTTGTGGTTTTGAAATAAAGGAATTTCTTGGACTTCACTTGCATTACCTTTATTTTAATTGACCTCAACAAAAAAAATATGCGACGTGTGTTCATAAAATATATTTTAGTTGGATTCCTGTGAAAATGTATTGCGCAAATATCTTCGTACAATCAAGACAAAAACCAACGTGTCTGCCCTCGGCTGGTCACCTCTCCGACACAATATGCATTTGTAATGACGTGTAATTTGAGTTTAAGCATGCAGGATAGAGGGTAGAAAATGGTTTGAGATCGTAAATATATTTTGGGTTAAATTCACAAGTGCGGTAAAAACTAACACAATTTAATGGAAATAATCGTACAGTCAACCCGTCTCAATCTGCGGGGTTTATGTTCTTGAAAATCCTCGCTAATGCAAAATTCGCGAATGCAGAAACTTTGTTTCAGTGAGAAATGTAGAGTTATGTTCCTTGTACGAGTAAACATAGGGGAGAAATGGTAAATATTTATTAATGACGACAATAAATAATGATGAAGAACAATGTGTTTGATTACCTTTGATTATCATGATTTGACAACGATGGAGGTGGTCGTGGTGGTGAGGAATTCAGGAGGATAATTCCTCGGGAGATGCAGGTGTGGATAACAACACACGGTTATTTTAGCACTGGCGAGTATGAGCCGTAACACTTTCCCTGATTGCATTTGCGTGCTTGTTAATGATCCCACAGTCGACTCGTTTGGTATAAACGAGTACATATAAAGTAAACGTGTAATGAGCGACTTCCGCGACACGTCGTGTAGAGGGTACTTCTTTATTTCTGACACTGGGCACAACAGGCCAACACTTGTTCTTCCTCACACTGAGCATAACTCTAGGTATTAACACCTCTACTGGCTACACACACAGCTGATCACTCGGCGGCATCCCATTACCCTCACTCGGCCCTGCCGCTCACTGGCGGCGTGACGATGACCGCGATGGAAACCACGCAGGAAATCTTCCACGTGACCGGACGACGAAGAGAGATGTCAGCGAGCAGATACGCAGCCAGGACCCAGGACCCCACACACGAGCCCCAGGCCCTGGGTCCACTCCCCCTTATATCCCCCCAGGCGTGGCTAGGCCCCGCCTCTGGCCATGCCCTCTCGTGGAACTCTTGGAGCAGGTTCCCGGAGTATCTCGGCTAACCCCACCTGTTACCTTTGCCCCAGATACACCTCCTTCTCTGATTGGTTGGTACTTAACCGTGCCCATACCCGTGATTCCCTTTCTGGCCAGCAGGTGACACCCTGTCAGTACACATCCACAATAGCGAGTTCAGAGCAGGATTACTGTGAGACTGAGTACGAAGTGGGTAGCCAAGCTTGCGTATCTCATCTTCTGAGACAGTTTCAAATGTAACAACATTCTGCGCGCACCTCCCCTGTATTGGTGGTCTGGCACTACATACACCCATGTACACTGGAGTCTGGCGGGTCGTGAATTGCGAATTAATACACATTTAGGAACTCGTGAATATTAGAATCTGGCGAATCCAAAACTCATGCTGTAATGATACAGAGCGTATTATACTGTTGAGAATATATTAAAAGCACGTGATTATTTCGTTAAAGAGAAACAATATATGTAAAGGTAACATACATGAGCTATGTTTCCTTCACATTTCCGTCTCTACATAATACAAATAAAAGTGTTTCTTGAGCAACCCATCAGCTGCACGACCTTCTGGGAGTGCATAATTTCAGCAGTATTAATCCAAGACAAACTTTGGGACCGGTTTTGACATGCAGCGTCTCATTAGCACGGTCAGCAGACAAGGACCCTCTCTTTATACTCTGAGGTCCCAGTTCGACGCAAACTGATATAACTCTTAACTCCAGATAGTAATTAGCATCGTTGTGAAACACAATGTCTTGATTATTTATGTTGTTGTTTACATTATCCACAACCACTGGATTGATTATTCGTGTCGTGATGTGAATGAGGGAGATCTTCCCTGTGTAGAGATGATTGCTACTCACTATGCGGTAACCTGCAGTGCCACTGTGTGTCAAAGGGGCGCTACTACGTTACCTCTCTGGGGAAAACGGCCGGGGTTAAGGAGAGGTAAGAGCGGATCAAAAACGCAGATTCCTGCCAGACAAACGGCCGGGGTCAGACGCGGTAAAAGATGATCAAAACGACAGATTGGGAAGAACCAATCAGAGGGCTCCACGAGGGAGCGTAGGATTGGACAGAGCCAGCCATGAACTGGTATAAAAGGGCAAGCGCTGAGAACGCGAGGCAGTTCTTCCTACATGAAGACCGAAACCCAGGCTGAATATAGCAAGGACCCTGGACCAGGCCTTGCAGCCCTTCTAAGGGCTGAGGCTCAGAGTTACCAGTGGTCAGAGGAGAATAGGTCCTGGATAGGCAGGACCCTGGAACCCAGCCTTGCAGCCCTTCTAAGGGCTGAGGCTCAGCGTGACCAGTGGTCGGGGACCCACCGAGCCAGCGGTGGGTCAGTTAGCCTCCCTTAGGTTCCAGCCGGAGGACGTTAGGTTAGCGGGTAGACTTGTGTGTAGTTCCCGCCAAGTCCAGAGGCTGTACCTCCTTAGGTTAGCGGGTATACTTGTGTGTAGTTCCCGCCAAGCCCGGAGGCTGTACCTCCTTAGGTTAACGGGTAAGGGGACCGTATATCCCTTGTGTGTTAGGGACCGTATCGAAGAAAAGACAATAAACAGTGTATACCTCAAATAAATGTATTCGTCCGTAATTCAAAACACTACAACTGGGGTCAGAAGTGGTTGAAGCAAAAGAAATTGAAACAAGACGAACAGCCCGCGTGTGAGGTCTGGATGAAGAGAACTCCGACTTACCTGCGAGAGTTGAAAACGCCACTGAAGATGCCAGCATGCTGCCGGCTGCCCAACCACCAGCTCGACAGCTGATCGCCATGGGCGACAACATCCGAGCTGCACACGGCCGTCCCGCCCAACTGCTACATGCTGCAGCCTCCATGCTCGAAGAAATCAACTCGGGGACTGCGGGCGGAGCGGACCGGCCGCCTGCGGACGTTCCCGCCATTGGGCAAACTGAACAGTTCAAATTTCCCGCTGAGGGATCACGTGCTTCCACCAGAAGTGGAAGCCAGGTGCATCTTGGGAATGTTGTGGGCCAATCACAACAGGCCGCGTCATCGGCAAGCGACGCTGGCAACTTAAGTTGCTCAGCCGACGCCGCTTCATCACAGCGGCGTCATTGTACAGTGGATGCTATTGGCCAAGCAATTGCCGATTTTCAGATCGATTCCGAACAAGTTGACGAAGAGAAGCCGGCCCATTTTTCGGGAGTTCGCGTCTACAGGGGCGACTGGGTGGCATTCCAGCGTCGCTTCCTCAGCCACCAAGAGATGGTGGGCTGGTCGGACGCACAGGCGCTATGGACACTGCCGGCCACCTTGGATGATGATGCTCTCACCGTGCTCATCACCGTTCCCAAGCAGCAATGGGTGACTCTACAAGCAGCATTTCGGCGAATGTGCGACATCTACAGACCTCCTTCTGATGTCCGTCACCATTTTTACGAGAGACGGCGCAACCCCAAAGAATCGCCACTGGCGTTTGGTACAACTCTACTCGCCATGGCCAGGGCTGCTTACCCAGGCATGGACAACGAAGCCATCGACGCTCTCGTGCTCCAGAAGCTGCTGGAGCTGGCGCGCGAGCTGCGCATTAGTATCCAGGCCATGGATGACGAAAATATGTTCTCGCTGCGAGCAGCTTGGAGCATCCATGCTCATCTGTTGCTCCACCGGGATGCGACCATTGCCGCCTCAGCTTCGAGATTGGAGCCTGCCAGCAGGGACGACGGCTTCTCCCCCGACCATGCCTTCGCAGCGTCCAAGGCAATGGGCCGGCGATTGTCCGACCACGCCGGGCGCCACGACAACCAGCAGCGGGGACGGCCTTTCCCCCCACAGCGACGTTACATGCTTCAACTGTGGACGATGAAGCCACATTTTCACCGACTGCCGTGCGCCTCGACAATGCTCCTCCGGACCACCAGGTCAAGAGTACAGGGCGTCCACGGCATCGCGGCACAAACAGGCAAGTCGCGACACCTCTCACATTCGGCCCTCACTCACACCTTACACACCGCGCCGCGCCATTGATAATACTCGTGATTCAGCGTATTATGCACGGCGTTCCGGTGATTCTACACGGCCTCTCTGACCTGGGTAGTGGTCGGAGCTGGCCCATAGGGTAGTCACGGCTCCTCGGTGGTTGTCGGTTCAATCGAGGGTGTAGAATTTCGCGTTTTTGGTCGATACAGGTGCGTGAGCTACTATCATTTCTGATTTGATTTATAATATGCTGCCTCAATTTAACACGTAGGCTTTCGCGACCAATATTATTCATAATCAACGTTTTTGGGTTTAGATCGCGTTATTTATAAATGTGTCGTAACCCTCCACCACCCGACACGGCCAATCGGTAAAAAAAGTGTCACGTTGACAAAAGACAAATAGTTCACTGCTTTAGCCTACCGGTGTGTTAAAGCATGAAACCACAACATTTACAATTTGAGTACGACGTTTCACTGGTAATTGCAACCAGCATCATCGATCTAAACCCGATGATGCTGGTTGCAATTACCAGCGAAACGTCGTACTCAAATTGTAAATGTTGTGGTGTCATGCTTTAACACACCCGGTGGGCTAAAGCAGTGAACTATTTGTCTTTTGTCAACGTGACACTTTTTTTACTGATTGGCCGTGTCGGGTGGTGGAGGGTTACGACACATTTATAAATAACGCGATCTAAACCCAAAAACGTTGATTATGAATATACTGCCTGTACAATGTCGACCCTTGCAGGGGGTTTCTGTCCCGTGTTTTGCCGCTAATGGGAGTTCATTGGGCATTACCGGCCAAATTCGTGTGCAAATTTCAATTAGCGATATAAAATTTTCCGGTCCTGTTTTGGTCTCCTCTTCCCTCGTAGTACCGTGTTTGCTAGGCACGGACTTTCTTGTGAAAATGCCTCTGAAAATCCTTGCGTATCAA